CCGGTGGTAGCTGATGCAAGAAATACCTCGGTAAATGTCATTTTTTTACTCAAAAAAAGAAATCAATAGCAAGTAAACAACAGTGAAGTTATTACGAATCATTTTAGACGTTTATGGTAATTAAGAGAATACAGACGGCAATGTCCATAAGAGAAATGGTCGAGAGAGAAATTAAGACGAGATATTCAATGGTAAAAAAACACAACATAGTATATGATAACGGAAGAAAAAAAGATACATCGTGGTACGTTTGTAATTCTAAAGATCGTTATAACCCAAAACAAACCTATTGAAAAGCTTTTTTCTTAACGACTCTTCTTTCGTCTCGCATGGCATTTTTTTCGCAACCAATTAGCATTCTTCCTTTATACCTTTGAATCACTTTGCAAAGAATCATCATTTTTTTTAAATTTTTTAAAATTATTTGATGGACCATATGAAGATGCATTGTTGATAAAATTTTATTTTTCAAACCGAAGTCGTTGTCAAGTTATAAGCAAAACAATGTTTGTGGTTGTACTGCAAAATAGGTATCTTAAAGGAATATTTTTGTGATAGTTACTATTCGTTAATAAAGCAACAAGGTAAGATAGTTTCAATCTTATTTTGTAGAGGATCCTTATTTGTATATACAGTAAAATTTTGGTGACTTTTGATGAATCTATAGAGAAGATACCAATCACGATATAACAGAGAGGTCAATATTTGCTGAAAATGATACTCATCCTAAACAATTAATTTTCTCACCAAAACTAGAAATGTCCAAGGTTTGATTTAGTGATCTGATATCCTTACGTCAGTCTCAACAAAAAAATATTTAAAAGATAAAAAAACTAGCGTGGAGGGGAGAATGTATAGGCGCCACTTCCTTTTTATTGTATTTCTCAGCAGAATGCGAAAACAAAAAAATTAGAAAAACTTGCTTCTTTTTATGAAAAAGAAAAGTATAATTTTCGAAAAGAAATTGCCTTCATGTCGTTTTCAAATATTCAAGAAAAAGTTACATTATAAACGACATGCTAACTACATATACACTTAGTATCAGTTGAATGTTTTAAATCTAGGATAAGCGAAATAATCTTTAGAAGATTCTTATAAGAAACTTACGAATAAAGAAGAAAAGGGCAAATCTTTTTATGCCATCCATATGATATACAGTTAATACTTCTTATTTTTCATTCATATTTTCGATTGTATAATGCTGATATGACTGAGAAAAATTCAGTCTATGTCAATAGACATGCATTTAGAGAAATACGCTAAATAATTATTTGTTTTTATTTAATTTTGACTCTTGAAAGAAAAATTTTTGATCGACTTTGTTGACAGATAGAAAAGTGTTGAAACAGAAAAATGTGAATGTGATGAGAAGATAGTCATCCACATTCACATATCTGTGCAGCATTCTTAGCTCTCAGTAATGAATCACTGAAGCTTTCAGTGTTGCATCATATGATTGTGTCAACTCAGATGAACGCTATCAATCCGTCTGTATTTGGATGTCCTTCGTTATTTTTAAGAATAGACCATCAACATGTTGCGATGATAAACTCCTCACAACATGAGCATTGCACATTTTTCTTCGACTATTTTATTCTTAAATTCTCCAGCATAGTTTTGATAGTACAGAATAAAAAGCTGAGCCTTTTTTTCTTCTATCTGCGCTGAGTTTGTTCATTATTGAACAGGTTTTCAAACTGATTTTGATGCCTGTGAAATAAGAAAGCTTTTTACATCGTGGCTGATCGGAAAACGCAGAAAATCCTTATCAGCCTACAAGGAAAAACTTGACAGAATTTCTTATAATAAGGATAGAATTTTTATTCCGAGTTCTTGACATCTATTCTCTTTAAACAGACAGCAATATTTTAATGTAGACATATCAACTAAAGTAGTTACGCGTTGGAAAAGAAAAAAATTAATAAGTTGAGAAAATGTTATTCGGATTTATAGTTTAGTGGTCGATCAGAGACTATCAAAAACCATCAATCACCACAAACGTCAATACTATTCGTGTACTGACAGGTTTGAACATTGTTTTAGATCCTTGTATCATAATATTTATACTGAAATATTTGTAATTCATACACTTTATGCAATACCATTTTCTTGAACCTATAAATGTATTAATTTATTAGCAAATATGTTCAAATTGTATATGAGAATAACTATGGAAATTTATTGTTTTGCGTCTTTTTCTTTATAAACATATTGATGTTACATCTTACAGGTGTCAAAATAAAAAGTAATGTTGATGGTTTTTTTATTGCTTTTTCCTTTTTCATATTTTTTGAGGTATAAATAAATATATATATATATTTTTATTTCGTGTACATGATTCACTATGCACAAATCAATCGTGCACATCGTTCCGTTCGCAAGTTTCGTAGTGTGCAACTTAATATGCATATCTGGTATATACCTGTTTGAAATACGGTGTCTCATTAAAAATGGATAAAAAAAAAGGGGAAAAAGCAACAAGCGAAATAGCAAATGATAAAAAGCTTATCGTGTTGCCTTGCTGCAAAGGTAATAAACAAATCATTCGAAAAAAAAATAAGCAAGCAGTGCTATTTCGATCAACTCTATTACCCCACATACGTATTCATTGATCGAAATCATTCAATCTACGTGTCCGAAGAAGGAAATAATCGTGTGATGAAATGGATGGAAGGTGCAAAACAAGGCATTGTCGTGGCTGGTGGTCAAGGACGAGGAAATGGTCTCACACAAATGTTCGGTCCTGAAGGAGTCGTTGTCGATCAATTGGGCACTGTCTATGTGGTTGACTATGGGAATGCTCGAATCATGCGTTGGCCCAAAGGAGCCACACATGGAAGTATCATTGTTGGTGGAAACGGTGAAGGAGGACAATCGAACCAACTCAATAGGCCTGTCGGTTTGTCATTCGATCGACAAGGCAATCTTTATGTCGTCGATAACAATAATCATCGAGTACAAACATTTAACATTGCCTCAAATGCTTAAAACATTACGTGAATGCTATTTTTTCTTTCCTTCTCAATAGATGTGATTCGATTGCTTTACACCCTCGTTTCTATTGTATTCACTCGAGCGCGCGATCTCGAATTATCTGACAACATTCCTAGCCGGTATTTACGGTCAATCCGGAAGACCTGATAAGGTTTTATGTATGAGGGCTGTGGGTGTGGGCGTGGGTGGGTGTGGGTGTGAGTGTGGGAGTGGGTGTGTGGGTGGGTGTGGGTGTGGGTGTGGGTGTGGGTGTGTGGGTAGGTGTGGGTGTGTGGCGGTATGAGTATTGAGTTCAACCACACCCACCCACACACATACCCACACCCCACACCCCACATCCACACCCACACCCTTTCGACGATTCTATTTTCTCCAAAATGCTTTTCTACGTTTTGTTTTTCGACGTTTTTACTTTCGACATTTTCCTTTCGATCTTTTTCCACTTTACCAACATTTTCTCGTTGCGGTATATTATGATTTAGATTTAAGTGAAGAATCGCTATATCAGTTGTCGATTCGGAATGCATGTTTGAAATTGAACACAATACTCAAATGAATCTCTCTTTCCCTCTTGTAAGAATTCGACTGCATGATGATTTTTTTTTCATTTTTCTCATGACACGCTGTCAACATTATATTAATGGACAAAGAAAAACGAAAAAAATGAAGAAAAATACTCTTTCCATGCATCTTTCATTGAATTTATTTTGCATCATGCAACATTACGAACACAGCGATTCAATGAAAACAACCAGTTTCTTTTCTCTCTAAGAACGAGATAGAAAATCACTCACGATTTCTTTCTTAAAATAGAATGGACTGTATATAACACGAATAGACGAAGGTAAGCAATTAAAAAGAGAAATGATGATCTAACGTATCTCGTGCGCTGGTCCCACATAGTCATTTAGAGATGTACCCTTGTTTTTAACGGTAGATGTGGATGCGGATGTTTGGATTACTTATATATACCGACACCCTCACCCCATCCTAAACTCATACCTTCTTGGTGCTTTTGGTAAAAACCAACACATGAAACTAGCGGCATTGTTCAAAGAAAAAGGTAACATTAGTATTGATGAATATGAATAATATTCTAAAGATGTACACATCGTTTTTACAACAAAAGCTGTAATTGATG